AGGTGCCTGGGGACAGCAGCTCCCTGGGACAATGTGGGAGGGAGGATTGAGGCCGCTGCTGTCTGCAAACATCCCCGAACCGGCGCAGGAGCCATCTTCCCRGGCTGTGCCATTAGTGTCACTCAGCTTCCTCTTGTGTCACATTTCTCACTCAAACCCCAGTGTTTTGGCAGCCCAGCCCGAGCTCTCCATCCCAGCCCTTCTGTCAAACGAAKATGACGTTGTAAAAAGCCCCGTGCTGTACAGGAGCAATCCCATTTACCCACTCTGTGGGCTGACACTGAAATCTCTCTTCTTGAGAGGCAGATTTCACTGAACAACTTCCACCCCACTGCCCTTCCAGATAAGCTGGAATTGCACTCTCAAACATTTCCTCTCACATCTGGTGAACACTGAGCTGGTTTTTAGAGCCCATCCCAGCTGTTGTGTTCACACACACTTTACAGTAGGTTGAGTTCATAGTGAGATTAATACCAAAGAGCATCAGCCAGCAGGAAACCAGCGGTGTGGGTGATTGATACCGTTTGCTTTCCCAGGGAAGGAGTTCGATGTCAGAGCCAAGTGTGTCATCAATGCCACGGGACCKTTCACCGACTCGGTGCGCAAAATGGACGATCAGGAGGTGCCCAACATCTGCCAGCCCAGCGCAGGGGTGCACATCGTGATGCCTGGCTATTACAGGTGAGCCTGCTGCTCCTGAGCACTGTGTGAAATCTCTGCTGCTGCTGAATAAATCAGAACAGAGAGAGACACACCACTGCCACAGAGAGAGACACACCGCTGCCTTCGCGGCGATCTCAGTGCACCGTTTGATTCTGATTTTTATTTGTGGTTTTTAAAGAGGCTCCTGGCGCCGTGCCGGTGAGAATTGAGAAGAACAATTTCATCTATTCAGGAAAGACTGAAGKCTTGTAGTTTTTAGTTAAAGCTGCTCGAGGCAGGAGTCCTGCTGGAGCAGGAGGCGTTGAGGCAGCGCATCCCCAGGCTCARTGGTGCCTTTGAGCAGAGTGTGCTGCTGCTTGGCACCCCCTCAGGAAAACACAGCATAGAAAACCTTGCAGGGAGATTGCACCTTCCTACAGAATCTCTTGTCCTGTTAAATCACAGAA